CATGCTAATAAACAATGTTGCATTGTTAATGCTTGCATTTTGCGGTCACTGTCATTGCGGACATTGTCACACGATTGCATCCGAGCTCTATTTACTCTGCCCTGTAACTTTATTTTCGCCGGGATTTAATTCTAGCGTGAAGAAAGTGATAATTCAGCAATGTAAACATGTGTAATTGAATTAGATCGCTGATGAGGTAGATACTTTCTAATTTTTAAGTACGATAAATAAAAGATGTTGTTTGGTATCAACAATTTATTTGACTTTGTTTTCGGCCCGGAAGCTGCAAGCTCTGAGGACGATCGCTACGCGATGGAAATGCACATTAGCCAAATAAAGTTGAGGAACATGAAGTTTTATTCAATGACGTTTAAGAATAAACGATATTAATCAGATGTTATTAACATAAGTTAATGCGAAAACAAAAAATCTCTTATTTTATTCTCACTTTACGTGACACTGATTGTCAAACCTTGTCGCTATTCAGTGTGGATTAAGATCACAGAATAGTAGAGAGAAGTTTTCAGTACTGATAAGGAGAGCGATTGCACTTTGATCATCGTCTGAGACGATGCTATATCCACTAGTATGTGCTCGCTTGAACCATCACATGTTCCGAAGTGTCGGAAAGCAATCACCCCCACCCATCTCACCTTCGCCCTCTGCACATTCGCGTGATTCACTGAAATAAATCGAAATGTAGTTTATCAAAACTGTGTATGGGGAGAGTCATATATTTCGGGGTCAAGTTGTTGGCTGATACACAGCTTATCAACTTTATTTATGCTCGACGTGAGAGATTTGAGGCAAGACGATGCCACCAGTGGTAACCTAGGTAAAGTGGCAGTGGTGGAGCTTCACTGAGATCACCACTATATTTGCTGTCATTAATTCGAATGCAACAAATGAAGTGGATACCGTGTTATTCTTAGCTACATCCGCCGAAGATTGAAAAGCGAGATTTGTTTGAATTAATGTGGAACAACTTCCCCGTGTCTTTATTCTTCCAGCACATTTATACCTGTTTTAATATATTTTTAGTTGTTGATCTCTCACTTCAGATTAATTCCTTATTTTCACTTCGTTTCTATGTTTAGAAAGTCTTGTTGATATCTCTTCAGTGGGTGCATGTGTGTGATGCGATATTGCCATTGCTAATGAATCGCAAGAATATGGAAGAGTAGATCAAGAATTTTACAACTTTAAAAGAATAATGTTCAAGCCAGCTCATGGTCCTGCAAGGACAATCCTTATACATGGGTGAATTAGAATGAGATAATCGCATGAACTTGTAATGTGCGGTGTAATTGTAGTATTAATAGTCCTAAGAGTCAGTAAGAGTGGTATTTTGTACACACGATACGTAAACTCTTGGTGATGGCCATAAAAGAACTTTTTGGTGAAGACAGGATGGCCATTCGGGGTGACCCATTGATGAAAGGGCGTCACGTCGTGAAAAAACACGTACGGGTCTGTATTAAACCAGGTTGCTGCCTTCGACAGTAGTTCTTCCTTAAGAACTCTTAAATATTGGTCGTGTTTCATCGTTCCGTCAATGATATAGAACCTCTTAGGACTGAAGGAAGACATTACGCCCCACACCACATCCAATGTTGGATGCTTAACAGTTAGTTGTACACATTCGAATTTGAAAGTCTCACCAGATCGACATCGAATATATCTAGAACATTCGTCAGATGTAGTAGAACATGATCACTAAAACACACTTTCTTTTAGTCTTCACGCGTCATGTTTCAAACCTCATGATCATCCGACGCGTTTCTTTGCCATTGGAGATGTATTTTTTATTTTTTTTTCTCGACCGCTGTGATGTTATACCCTCTCTACAGATTAGTTTTCTTACACTTCTTGGGAAAACAGGTTCTCCGTACTCAACCATCTTCATCTTTAATTCTTTAGAAGTAACTTTTCTGTTTTTCAGAGCTTTTTTTCCCCTCATGCCTTGAGAAGATAGCTTTGGTTTTCGCCCGCATTTTCCTACTCTCTTTTGTTGGTATGTTTCGTTTTCTCTAATTGCAAAACTGACTCTACAAGAGGATTTTTGATTTATTGAGAATCTCTTAGCAATATGCCTCTCTGTACAGGTACCTTTTTCCAGAAGAGTTTTAACAGCTACTTTACGAAGGGAATGATCCTCCTTCCCATTTCGTACTGTTGGCATATAGTCCTTACGTTACTTAAGTTAATAGCCTATAGTTACTTAATGGCCTATAGTTACTTAATAAATTATATAATTACAATATGTATTCACATTAACAAACCATTAAACTGATCTACTACAACATGCGAAGTCGGTGAATGTCTCACTTTTTAAAGGAAAAGTCACAAGGTCACAGTAAGGAATGTTGACCCATACAAAACAACACGTGTACTTTCGCAAGCAGAAGCCATTTGCCAAATCGTGATAGTACTGTTACCTAATGTTCATTATCGACACTTCCGTTTCATAAACGTTATGTTGCTAGAAGGAAAATGGCAGGTCAATACTTAAAAATGATTTTCAGTGCCCTAAGAATCTGCTATTATATCCAAAAATCAGAACTTTTTTTTTTGCTATGAGTCTATTAATTTGAACAGATCTGTAAACTGTGTCACATCGCCAGCTGCTTCGAAGTTTTATTCCGCTACATTATTCTGCAATATTTTTTCTTTTTTTGAAAGATATGAGTCATACATAATCCGCTCGTTTTATACTGAAGTGATTTGTGTACAAAATAAAAGCAATAGACATTTTTCTCTACACTTAGGACATCCGGAGGCTGGAAAATAAATGGAGAACAAACTCTTGAAATTACTTTTCTTGTATAACAAGCCAGATTAAATGTCGATCAGTCATGTGATCTCCTGAACTATTTAATAGAGATGTGAATAATAATTTATTATCGCGCAACTTTATATTAAATTAAACTTTATTTGCATTAAATCACATTCATTGTTCGTTATCAAACAAATTAGCGAAGACATAAAACTTGAGAAACGCCACGAACGTCTGTTGGGCTTGGCGAGGTCGCGAGCAGTTCGCGCCTTGGGAACGACCCACTAGGAGGAAGTAACCGTCGCCTCCGCGCGAACCAATGCCTCTTATCAGGCGGAGGCTGAGGAGAGAGCAGTGCATTAGTGGCCTCCCGCGCCCGTGTCCCGCTTTCCCCAGCGCTCGGCGCGCTCCTCAACACGCGCGGAGGAAGATGCCGCCTGCGCCCCGGACGGCGAAGCCTCGCTCCTCCCCTTTCCTCGGCTATTCCGCTCTGTTGCTCTCCGTCAGTTCCATCAACTTGTCGTAACCGATTTCTGTTCGAAATCCGTCGTATTGTTGTTCACATTCATCGCAATGACAGAGCATTTCAACGAATTGCTATTATGAATGGTGATGATGAATTGAATTGAATTGAATTTGCCTTATTTTACGTGGCGAGCCGATTATGATGAAGCCGGTATGGGGGAAAAGAGCAAGATTGATTGATTTCAATAAAAAAACGATAATTTCAGTCAGTTTATAACACTATATATTTAGACATTTCGACATCATATGTGAAGTCCTGTGCAATATCTGAAAAGCCAATGTTACAACATTGTACAAACAATAAGTTATAATCAGTCTAATTTGCATAAAAAAGGTACAAAAATTGTAAAAACTGTTCAAATCGGTTAGACGTTCAAATCGTGTTACTTTTCGAATAGAGAGGTTAAGTATACTTGGACAACCAAAAATAGAGACCAGGTAGCATATTGCAGGTAAACAGGTATTATTGATAAATAGTCTATGTGAAAAATATCGAATTACATGAATTATCCATTTTGGAAGGTATTCTTTTTCTGAATCTTTGGATATACAGCAGCTAAATCTGTTGATCGTAAATTAGTCAAAACAATGTATCTAGTGGTACAACATCGATTTAGTGACACGATGAAGGTGAAGTGACCTAATGTGTCAAAGACAGCGGTGAAATGAGATCTCACATACAAAAGATATAAAAAGGTGGTAGGTAATTTGATGTAAGTGGAAAAAAGAGGAAACCATAGAATATCTATGTGTATAAAAATAAATATTGGTCAAAGGGGGAGTATGAAAAACAGAAAATTAAATTATTGATTGATTGGTTCGTTCCTGATACTCAACTGCTATCATTAGTCCTATTAGTTGTGTGAATGTTATAATACCAGGAGGTGGCTGTGTTCTTTTCCCGTCGGATAGTTTGATCCGATCTGCACGTCTGCTTGCGGGAAATTTCCTCTTCCAGGTATCTCTCCAGTAGGGCAACGCTCGGGACGGGACAAGCTCTAAGCTCCTGACCAGTCTTCCGACATGTGTATTGGTGCAGACATGTAAGTGTGTGTAAGGGAGAGCTTAGGACAAGAAAGGGGAAGGGAGGATCACGCGCGTCCATTGCAGGTTTAGTAGAAAAATGCTCCGGCATTCTTCTGATATTTATAGGAAAAACCATAGAGAATTGGTGATACGTGCGGCCACCCACTAGAACTTTCCTCCGAGCTGCGACTGAATTCGACCTAGCAATCCAGATAGTCTCGAAATCCGTCGCCATCGCGGTGCACAAAGGAGCAGGAAAGAATTCAAGATCGTGCGTCTTTCGAAAAGAACACCCACTATACGTATATTACAAAGAACACCCAGCGAAAACATACAGACAATTATGCATTTATTATTTGTAAATAAAAGCATTTTACTTGTATTATTTCATATTAAATAACACAAAAAATAACAAAATAGGTTTTTAAATACCAAGTAAAGAGAATTTACACACTCGATCGACCACAATCCCTTATTTCTTCCCATTTGTACATTTGTCAAACAATTTGTAACAATGAAAATTGAAGACAGTAACATTCTGTACAAAAAATAACTTGTTTCAAAAGTAAATCGTCCTTATTTTATTGCAAGAAACTCTCAGTTTTTAGATAAATTGCATTTTTTTTAAATTCAGGGCTGATGAAGTCGGTATCCTGCTACCAGCCTAATTCACCATTGTCCTTGCGGCCATCAACGTTCTGGAAGCTTCAGCTACTCCTACGCTAAAAAAATCGATAATAATAATAATAATAATAATAATAATAATAATAATAATAATAATAATAATAATAATAATAATAATAAAATTAAAACGATTGAGCAACTGTGAGTGTTGTCAGTAATGTCGTTTCATACTAACTTCCTGGACTCGCTACAGTCATAATAGGGAACGACTCTTCGGCTTCCTTGCCATAAACGCTGTTCATTAGAGTGCTTCGCCGCCATACTGAATTCACATACCAAGTTCTTTGTGTATAAATATTTACTTTTGGGGGAGCTCGTATTGAACAAAAAATTTTATTGTGCGAAAATCTAGCCACGTGCTGGAGAGCCCCACCTGGCCCCTCAAAATTCACTCACATTCTAATTCCAAGTGCAAACATGTAGATGCTTGGCTCGAGTGTCAAGGATCAGTGAAAGAGGGATCTGCGTCATCAAATGTATGCATTTTTCCTTTGCCAAGAGGCATAAACACGGTCTTTCAAATATGACGACTGCAAATAAGTTTTTCTACGCGCTCAAAATGTCTCGTGTTTTCCTCGTTCTAAAAACACCGTGCCTTTTCAAAATTAAGCAATCGCTTTTGATTTTGGGGGGTATTTTATATTAAGCCTCAACATTTTCAAACATTTCAAAATATTGGGATTAAAGTTTTATCTTGAATACAGAAAAAACGCTTAAAAATGGCGCAGGTCACATTTCAGTGGAACACACTGAATTTTCGAAAATTGCAAAAGATTAAACATTGCCGGTGTCTTCCTATAACTAGTCAATTAAAATTATATATTTTGTAAGGTATCATCATTTCGTGTTAATATTGATCATTGGGTAAGGTCCAAAAAAGAATATTAGTTACAATCACCTTCTTTTTAATAATTTTTATTAACTATTCCTAAGAACCTGGCGTTTCGGAAATATTTTGTCTCCTTCTTCAGACTAACTGGATAGGAGATAGGTAAAACATTAAACACTTTTACAATAACATTTTTCTAAAATTTATTTTGAAACGTTTTTTAAAAATAATATGTACTACATGCACTTCATAACTTTCAACCTTAAGTAGGGCGAATATTATTTATTCTATTAAAGAAAGAATTTTTTAATGACATCGGTTCTTTAAAGATATATCTTCAATTAAGGGCAGGAATAATTTTTCGAAGAAATGAGTAATTTTCGCGTGATTGTGCGTAAAATGTAGGCAATTTTAAAAAGACATGCCTGTTTGTCCGTGCGGCACTGGTCAACGCTATCGCCTAAATTTTGTCCAAATTGATATTCCTCTATCGATCTGAAGAATCTCGAGGCCCTGGCAGTTCGAAAGGGATATTTGGATTTTTGTGGCACTTTACATAAACCTTCAACATTTTCTAAATTTTTTGAAAAAAACTCCAATTTTTTAAATTAAATTTTGTTCTCGGTGAGCGAAGAGAACACTTAAAAAAGTGCTCAAGTCACTCTTTCATTGGACTCTGTATTTTCGAAAAATACAAAAGTACAATTTTTCCGTATCTTCCTACAACTACACTATTAAAGAAATTTTTTTTTGTAAATAAAATCTGTTGTTCAAAGACAGATCTTTTAATATGGTCATGTACAATTTTTTGTAAAGATGAGTACTTTCCGCATGTAGGCAATTTTTAAATTATTATTCTTTCAAAAACAGCTTCATTATTTGTCTATATTTCTCCCCTCGGACCATTCAAAAATACAGAGGTCATATTTCCTTGAATTTTCTGAATTGCCAAAAATTGCAAAAGTTAGAAATAGTGAGAGACCACTAGTTTTCAAGCGTCGGGAAGGTTGATTTCTGCTGTCCGACTGGCGATGAAGGAGCAATGTTCTTCGCGTGTTCTCTCGATGGAATTGATTAGACTCTCATCCCGGATGAAAAAAAATGCTGATTGAAACTATGTTGGTTCATTTAGTAGTATAATACTGCGTAGCCGTTACAAATAATCCGAGAAAGCATGTGATGTCGTAACACTACTAGTTTTATTTTAAGCTAATGAGGTTCACCTTACCTAAGAAAGGAACCGTTAAAAATTCCAATTTACTGAAATTCCAATGTATTATTAATTTCGTAATAATTTTTTGTAATATTTTGAAACGATAGGAAACCAGTTAAGAATCGTTTAAAACCGAAAAAGAATGGTTTTGTCATGAGAAAACGAAACTGAAATATTAATTGAATTTGCTCGCTGTCTACACTGTAGGTTACTCACTAGCTCACGGGCCTGACTGCGGCTAAAAGCTGTCTGCGTGGGCAGCAATAGGCGTCAGCGTCGGCAGCTCTCCTTTCTTTGTGGTAGGAGTAGACCCTGAGGGGGGTGTTGCTGTTTTGTTAGCATTACAGTAACATACAATCTGTAATTATTTTACCGATGCAAATTAATTGTCTATTACTCGGGTGCGAAAGTTTGTTTTCAAAGGTTGCTAACCTCGATTTTTTGGTACTTTTTATTCACCTCACAATAACATTAAAAAACAATGGGGAGGGATTCTTAAGCTCATGAAAATGTGTGCAGTTCATACTTTTCCCTCATAATTCACGTATGAGTTTTAACGGTATCTTGACGAAAATATAACATGTTGTAACGGACGTCTCAATCGCATAGTTAGTGTAGACAATATTTGATGGTTATAAACAAACCAACAAACATACATGCATACACACATACAAATAAATAAATAAATAAATAAATAAATAAATAAATAAATAAATAAATAAATAAATAAATAAATAGTGTAAAGGGGAAATACAAATAAGTTCTTTTTCGTTGTGTGAATAACGAAATGTGTTTGTGTTTATAATGAGTAAGAAATCGGAAAAGTGATTCTGAGGCCGTCGTTAAACTTTTGATACCTTAACGAATTTCGAATCCCACTCGTGCCAATCGATCATACTCGTATTTCCCCCGTCTTGAAGCAAAATCAGAATTCCATTCATTACGTTGTTCACATCAAACTAGTATAATTTACAATGACTGGACCAGTCGTGGAATTAAAACCAATAGTGTTTACTGAAGTCGTAGGCTTCCGCGGCCAGAGTCATGTGGGTGATCTGGGCTGTCTGGGTGACGCCGCGTCGAAGGCTGAGTTGCCGACGTTTCGACCATCCTGTCGTGGTCTTCCTCAGGGCTTGTATGTGTACCAGCCCTGGCCGCCTGAGGAATAGTCCTATTAAATACCACTCGTGCTTTGAAAATTCTCAAATAAATCGACAATTTCAAAATCACTCGTGGTATTACCTATGATAATGGGCAATGCAATTGTTAACAATAATAATAGAAAATTATTTCGCACAATTAAGAGTGTTTCTTAATATATTATACACGAAAATACTTACAGTAAAAATACAGTTCCCCAGTGGAGACGTTCAGAACGCGTGGCACATGTCGTCGTTGCATTCGCTATTGAAACGTGTGTTGTTTTTCAAATAGAACACATTTTTGACTGTTTCAGAGAGGTGTTTAGACTAACTGTTCATATACCACTGATCTATGGCAATAAAATGAAATTCGTAAAAGTGATTTTTTTATTTCATTAGAGAAAAAATTTTTGTTTATATTCTTTTGTTTCGCGAATCGGCCATCATGTGGCCACGCGATACGTGCATCCCACTGGAGATCAGTCATGATTATGGGGGGTAGGTGCACGTTACTCTACTATTTGGGGATCAACATTTAATGCTGATTCCATTTTTACACCCCAAGACTGTAAGCTCTGGGAGATGGGGTGAAATGATGAAAAGACGCACACACAAACATGCATACACAGTTATTATTATTATTATTATTATTATTATTATTATTATTATTATATTAAGAGCCATGATATAAATAATAATTAAGTGATATGCGATAAACATGTTTTATTAACATCTTTGGTGAAAAAACAAACAGAAAACACGAAAACCTCCAACAGCAAATATTGTTTCTCTCGTAGTTCATTTATTTCACAGTACAAGATGACATCATTGTTCACTGGAACAGAAAAAAAGGTTTTTGGTTCGGAGAAGTATTTAGTTTACGGAAATGACTTTGAAAATTCGCAAAAAGTGTCTAAGCTGCACGTCCTATCTGAGGAATGAAGACCTTGAAAGCCAAATCAAATTCAACGAAAATTATATGAAATAGAAGCTATTCTTAAAAGCATCTTGCAAAGTAATTTACTTAGCTTTCACCGTAAATTTTATTAAGTTTAATGTATTTTCAAATTCCTCTACAAATGCTACTCTTAGAAAGAAATATGAAATACAAAATTATATTGGTATGATTGTTTTAGATTCAAATATTCATGTAAAAGCATGCAGTAAAATGTATAAGTTGCATTTCTCATTTCAATTGCAAGAAATAGAAAGGTTAATGCCCGCTGTTGGGCGTCTTGCTGAGGCAGCACCTTGGCCCTGACTTTCACTCGCCAGGTTGCGCCGACTAGTCGCCTGTTCGCTGCCGCAAGCCGGTAGCGGATGAGTAAGAAAGTCTGCCAAGTCGAAGAGGAAAAATAGGCACTACTGAAGGAAATACAGCAGATCGGAATTCCGTCTTGCACGTATCTCTACATGAGTGGTGGAATTTTAATGTACGGAAGGGTTATACAGTGTCCGAGGAGGAACCGTCGAAAATTCGAAAATAAGCTCTTAAGACAGTTTAAGCAAATTTTGTCTAATATATTACTTGCACAATCTGAATGGCTGAGCCGTAATAAGCATCCAAAAGTTGGTTTAAAAAAATGCTTGCTAGGCAAAACCTTCCAGTGCAGAAGCATAGAAACACTCCACAAACATGTCAATTGTTTATTTTCAAAAGAAATGAATATTTGTTCAGAAAGAACAATTAACCCAAAAATAAACAAGTGGTGCTAAAGAATGGCACAGACTTTCCCGAATTAGTTTTCTATTTCCATTGGTCTCTGCTGGATTCGGACTTTCCACTTACTCTTGCCAGCTGCCATCTATCGCCGCCCAAAGTACATTTTTGAAATTTTCTTAATTCTTCGGTTTCGGAATTATTACTTTAAGGATTTTAAAGAACAGAAAATCTCATCCTAAATGGCAATTTTCTTTAAAAAGTTTGGAGCCGCTTTTAAGAAAATGGCGTTTAAGTGCTACTATAAATTCGAAATTTGAAACTCTTTTTTTTACAGAAAAAGTTTTGAGTTTTCGATAAACTTCATTAGACGTCATTTGAAACACATTAACTAATATAAAAGAGTGCAATTAGCACTATCCGTTTGAAAAGTTTAAAGAAAAAAATTGGAGCCGTTTTTGAGAAAATGGCGTTTGAGCTTTTCTGAAAACACGGAACTTTCACCTAGTCTTCACAGAAAATGGTTGGGTTTCCGAGAAACTTTATATGATATTATTTAAAGCACATGTACTTATAAATGTGTGCAATGTATGTGTTGCACATATATAATGTGTACAAATCGCTGCTAGTGTAAATATTAACTACAGCGAAGTCAACAAAATTTAATTTTTGTAAATTTTGAAAAAACAAAATGATAGAGCAAACTGATGTTTATGTCAGCGTATAGAGTATATTTAGGATTATCCCTACCAAATATTTAAAGTAAATATTTGGAGCCGTTTTTGAGAAAATGTTTTTGTAGTTGATTTTTAAAATAGTACATATATAACGCAATATTGCGCGAAGACTACTAAAATTTTCAACAACTAAAAATATACTTACCTTAAATGATCTTAATGAAAATTCACTACGGAGAACAAATTTCATTTGAAAATATGAATCTCTATCTTCAGTTTTGTAGTTGAAGGAAAACGCCGGAAAATTTTTCAAAATTTCAAAATGTTCGTTAATTCAGAGTTAACCCTGAAAATCGGACATATTACACCTTTATAAGTGTATTTTACTCAATTTTTACAAAAAAATTTAAAGAAAACATTGGGAGCAATTTTTGAGAAATTTTTGAAAACGTCCGGGAGCTTAATGTAAAGTACCCCAAATTTTGATAAAAGTGTTTGAAAATCGTAGAGCCTTAAGCCGAGTCAGATCGATCGAGGAATATCCATTTTGGAAAAAATCCTACATATGGTTTAGGTGCTAGTGGTGTTCACGGACGGACAGACGTTTTGAACAAAAAACACTTTCGGTGTCAGGGGACCCCAAAACGTGTATTTCCCTTGAAATCTCGAAAGCGATTTTGGCAGTATTACATAACTTTTCGTATACGACGTATACTATTACTCCGTATATGCGTATGTTTAAGGAAAAATAAAAAAAATAAAACAATTTTTCATTTATGAGAAGTTCTCCGGGTAAATTGATTTAAATCCCGCGGAAAAGTTCTTTTTTAACTTCAAATATGATTTTCAACATTACAAATTTTTATCCCCGGGGGCTATTTTACCTTTCTTTTTCCGCTACCGCCTTTGGATCGTACAGGTTGCTTAATTTTAACTCGTATTCTCTTAAACTGAACTTAAAAGAAATGCATGCGTTATGATATACAAATTAGAAGAACCAAGGGTGATTATTGAAAATAACCCAAATACAATTAATATGTTCGATAAAAAATATAACTGAATTCGTTGAAGGAAATTTTCATTTTTCTTGTGAAACTCGTATAATTGATAATCCTGTAATTTATTTTCCAAAGTTCTCGGGTTATTTCACATCTCATTCTAATGATTAGAGGTTTGCAAAATACCTTGTTTTATTTTATAACTTTTAACTTTTCTTCATTGCTTTCCTTGTGTTCTCCTGGCACTAATATCGATCAATTTGGAAACATACTACCTGACAAGAGAACACAACACGATGGCAAGGTTTTGTCTTTCTGTGGAAGCGGAGGCTCCACGGTCAGGTAGTGTCAAAAATCTTAATGAGAAAAGAGATGATACCGGGCCAATTTTTTAAAATATGTTTACATTCATGCTGTCTCGCTTTGTTTACTAACGAAGAATCCCTTCCTACTTTTGAGTATGGCCTACGATCCCTTTTGAGGACAGAATTCTATGTATATGATATTATTACCCATCTCAGTGCTGGGGATTACACATTATTATCCACCTCAATGCTAGGGATTACACAAATGTGAAGAACGAAAACTACAATTCAATTTCACTGATGCGATTTCAAGATTCAAACGGGAGTCCTCAATAGCATTTTGTGGACATCTAATTCGTAGACATCATACAACAAATTCGTAGTCATCAAACCGAGTGGTCATGTACAATCAAGATTACAAAGAAATTATCGTTTCCTTCCACGTAAGTGCTAATGTAAACTTAAGAATTAGAATAAAAATATGATTTTTTTGAATTATTTATTCTTGTACAACCATTTCTCTTAAATGGTGATTTTTCATTGTTTAAATGTCTTTTTGCAACCCAACTTTAACTAGAATAAATGCCTTTTTGTACGCCTATTTTAGTAAAAATAAATGCCTTTTTACCTTCCTATTTAAGGTGGAATAAATTCCTTAACTTTCGGGCTCCACTAATGATCAAGGTAATATAGAGAGTTAATAATTTCAATATTTTAAATTGGACTTCTTTACCAGGATTCAAATCTTCCAAATTATTGAAGACATGCTTTCAAGGAAGTATTAAGTACTGAACTTTTCATTCAATTAAAATTTTCTCAGAGTAAGCTATAAGAAAAAAGTGTACAAACAATAAGGTGGCTAGTAAGGTTAGTTTTAATATCTGCTATTTAAGAAGACAAATTTCTTAAAGCATTTTTTATTTTAGCCAAAGGCATAGCTAGGGTCTTGGAGGTCCCGGAGTACACACACACAAATCTATATTTGCCCTATCTGCAATTGCCAAACGTGAAACTTGCTGTTTTGAATCTAATTTACATAAATACGCTGTAAATTGTACTAGATTTAACAATTTAACCAATAATCAAATTATTATCCATTGTGGTCATAAAGATTCTGACTATCGAATTTCCTATCTCTGGAATCTTATTCAGAAAATAAGTTTGTAAAATTGATTACTAGTTATTCCGGGTGTGTCAACTGTTTAGATAATTAGTCTCGTAAGTGAAGCTCTTGTTTTTGATCGGGAGGTGGCAGTGATCTTGTCCCGCTAAATGGTGAGATCTAGCGCCGACCAACCGTCGGCTAACGGGGTTTTCGCTAACCACCAGCGGAGCAGTGCCCCAGCCGGGAGAAGCTCTAAGCTCTTGTCCGGTCTCCCGTCATATGTAGTGGCGTAGTGCATGTAAGTGCGTGTATACTTCGATTTATTTAGAGCTTCATTTGACAGGTGTTCAGCTGTTCTTCATCCAAAAGGGAGCTTAACACCACTACAGTGACGTATCTATGGTGATTTTCAACCTTCCGATTGGATGACATCGTAACAGATGATTTACGTCAACTGAAGTTATGTTAAAATCCAGGTATAAGGAGTAGGATAGGACAAGGAATGGGAGGAAAAGAAGGGGAGAAAGGAAACGGTCCGTGGCCCGTTTTTAGGGTACTGCTCCGGCATTGCCTGGTATTGCTAAAAAAACCACATCAGAGCAGCCGACCGCTAAAATTCTCCTCCAGAGAGCGGCAGAACTCGGCCTAGACACGTGGTTATTGTCGAAAATAGCCACCACCGTCGGGATTCGAACATCAGGACCTGTCAGTCAGAGGCGCTGTAGTGACATCAGTTGATGCCCCGAGCCACCTCTCCCGGTTTATGGAAAGGGCAACATGTGAAAAACAAACAAAGCTAAGTTGCTCAAATATTTATTTTGTCGTCAGTTTTACGTCGCGTAGTTTACCAACAAAAATTTTGCCAAATTCATTTTCCAAATACTGGTCCCGTATGGAGTTATTATAGGCATCAGTGAAGTCACCCAGCTACCTATCTACGAGTACCAAGTGCGTAAACAAAAGAGCAACGCGGCGAAACTATTCGTTTATATTCTTTGTTGATGTTTTTTTGAAGTCATTCTCTTGCATACAATTATAGCAAATTTAGGAATAATCCTAATTAATATTCAGTGAACGTATAATTTGTCACGCAATTTTTTATAAAGGAATACTTTCAGAATATTTTTAAATGGGAACCCTCTACTGGATACTACTTGATTTTTATTCTTATTCGTTTCCTATGTATTGCCTTGCTCTTCAATCGCCCTAGTATTTGTTTGCTGCTTGTTAAAGCTACCCTTTAGGGCTTTCCGTTTTTTCCAATAGCTGATATCTCAAGCGATTATTGTTGCAATTGTCCTCAATTTTGATAGGACGACGAATCCTTTATAGAACGACATTAAGATAGGAAAAGCCATTGGTTTAAAACATCCTATGAAGTGAAGAGGAAAGTTCATGAACTTCACCACCAGGGTCGACCACGGTCATGAGCATTGGGAAAGCAGGCCAGTGACGTAACGTAACACGCGGCGCAGGCGTACTTCGGTTTGTGTGCCATTCCCCCACCATCAGCGGAGAGAGGGTAACGATTTGGTTTCTGCAAGTCGGCGTAGCGAGCGCTGCAGTTCCGTGCAGTCGTTCGAATGGTCGACTTTGATGTGGTGTGAGCAGGGTATGAAAATAGGCAATCTCAGCTTTTCTGTGTGTAGTGCAGAGAAGTATAATCCACTATATTAGGGAATGCGTGTTTGGAGTTTTGCCTGTGGAAAATTTTGTAATTCTTAGGTGAAGAGGAAGCGAACTTGACATTCAAAAATGGATAAAGTAGGAATTGTCTGTGTATCAGTGCTCGGGTTTCAGCTAGCAAAATCTCTTATTCGTTTCTTGTACAATAAATGGCTGGCGCCAGCACTAAAATTGAATGTAAACTTGAGAGACATGGGTCGCTGGGCAGGTAAGTAAATTTCATATTTTGTTACCATTACATAAACATGATACATTTTGGCTTTCCACATTGATTCAACTGATCTAATGATATATTTGATGAAATTAATAGAAATGAAGTACTTAAATGGTGGGCGTCTCTAGAATAGTTTTAAGAGTGCCACCACTATTTACTTTAATGAATAAAACTATCTTGTTTTCATGAACTGTTCTAACAGTTAAGCAGTACTGAAGCTCTTATATCAAGTCTTAAGTGAATTCAATTAGTTCCACTTGTATCAATTCCCGGGCCTTAGCGTTTATACTCTTGGGTGTAGCAACTCTTAAGACTAATCTTCTAGAGTATTAATTAGCGAAGCAATACGCAAGATAAGTTTTGTATTTAATAACCATGGAGCGGACATAAGAATTTTACCTCTGAGAGCGGTAAGAGTTAATTGGGCATTGTCAAACGGATGTTCATTCATTGTACCCTTTGAAGTGCCCATGTACTTGCGTGAATCTGTTTGCCATTTGTATTTATCAAAATTACACCTTAAAATATCACAATATAATGCTTTCTCTGCGTAATTTGTGTAAGGGGAAAATTAGTCTGCCCATTTACATTGTAGATGTATACTGTCACCATACGTCCGTTACGATTACATATTGAATACTACAGGCGGAAGGTTGTGCTATTAAAAGTCTAATTTACATACAATACCTACGGGAAAGCATGGATATGAATACGGAGTGTTGTGCCACCCGTGTCATTTTACAGAGTCATGGTCTTTTATTTCATTTTTAGAAAATATTTTATTAAAATATGTAATTTTGTAATATTTGTATACCAAACGTTCTTTTTTTCTTGGCTGATGTTTGGAAGGTGCCAGTTGACAATGCTCAATTAATATACTGCATTATTGAGACGAGGTAAAATTTTCTGAAAAAAGCTCGTGTGAATTGACAATAACTTTTAAAAATGCTGCTATAGTGTAAAACTCTAAAGTTAACTGTCAACTGTCGTGCGACTTTCTAGTGCATTCTACTTAGCGATTCTGGAAATGAGGTCACGAAACGGGAAGTTTTCGGCCTACTTTTGAGGACGGAGTGCACGTAACTCGATGACACCGGTAATGTGCTAGAGACGAGAGATTGCACGGCATGAGATTTAGAAGAAAGGATTTTATATTAAAATACTTCATATTCATTCATTTGCTGATAAAATCATTATTTGTAGCAAAACATTCGTGCGGACGAGGGCTACGAACTCTTCCCCATTCAAACAACGTAACGGGAATCTGCGTAGGAGCGTAGTCAGCTGGCGGGCGACCTTGAATGTACCTGCTTTGTGGTAATGACTGTTCTCGGCAACGGATCAGGGGCAATGCGGTCGTGTCTTTGGCCTCCGATGTTGTGGCCGCTACGTTCTCGGAGTTTAAAGATTCCAGTTTGCTTCATCAGAATTTATCGGTTGTTTTCCCACCGACGTCCAGTTGAACATACACGATATGTCGATAAAAAGTGACATGATTTGTATACCGATTGAAGGTTGTTCATGACCATATATTGTCTACGTTGTGGGATTGTGAGATGCATCTAAATCGTTAAAATAAGCCATTACAACATGCGTTCAATTTGTTTCAATTAACATTTCTAATGAATGTGTAAAATACAAACTGAGGTTATCTGCAATCGTTTCTTATATAATAAAGTAAGCAAAAATTGAACTTAGTTTTACACAAATATTAAAAAAAAAATAAAGGAACGTTATTTGAGTGGATTATAACAGGTATGGTCATATCAGTCAAGGAATGTGAAAAAAATTTTAAAAAGTTTTTTGTAGTAGTTTCAGTAAATGTATTTTATTGACAAGGTGCAAATCTTCATTAGATTTTGATAAGTTTAAATTGTTGGTATCTTGGTTATTTTTTGAAGTTGTGTGTTGAAGTTTTTGAAGTCTGAATACTGTATTGATATTTTTTAGCTGCATCTACTTTTCATTCAAGAAATTTCAATTGCTTTGACATGTAGTTCCATTTTTACATTTTTCTTAAATTGCTTTGAAGAAATTCCTTGCATTTTAAATAGATTTGATGTACTGAATATTGTAAAATATAAAGACAAATGGTGAAATTAATGGAAAGAATTGGAAATGTAGCTTGTGGATTTAATACTGGAGCCTCAGATTTTGTGCCTGTGCTAGTACTCGTTTCGATATGTTACTGAAATTGGTCATTAAAATGATTTAATAATCAAGCTTGGTTATCAGTATCTGTTTTCTAAAATTACAATTAGTGACAATTCTGTTGCAGTGATCACTGGATCAACTGATGGTCTTGGGAAAGCATTTGCCTTTGCAGTAAGTATGTGCAAATTCATGTGTGTTTTCTGAGAGAGAAATTTTTTGTTATGATAAATATTATACTACAAAGATTTTTAATTTGTTTCAAAATTGCAGTGTGCCAAAAGAGGTATGGATATTGTATTAATAAGCAGAGATGCAAAGAAATTGGAGAGAGTTGCTGCTGAAATAGGTAAGAACATAAGTTTTCATTTTGTATGCAATAATTTAGATAATTAGAATGGTTAATTTAATACTAATTTTCTCTGCAGAAAGTGAGCACAAAGTGGCAACAAAAATCATCCAGGCAGATTTTACTGATGCATCACCTGACAATTATTGTCATATACAAGAAAAACTAGCAGGTCTGGAAGTTGGAGTTCTTATTAACAATGTTGGCATCAGTTACAGTCATCCTGATTACTTTCTAGAGTTAGCAGATAAAGAGAAAGTATTTTCAAACATCATTAAATGTAATATTTTCTCTGTAACATTTATGACTCAACTCCTCCTTCCACAAATGGTAGAGCGTCACCGTGGGGTTGTTATAAATATTTCCTCCACAGCTGCTCAAATTCCAAGTCCTCTTTTGACTGTTTATGGAGCCTCAAAGGTATGTATAAATTAATTATTATATAAAGTGTAATTACATTGAAATAGTATCTTATTTACCCCCAATATAAGACTTTTTTTTTCTTTTTTTCCCCCTGGAAGATGTCGAAAAATGGGGTTCGTCGTATATTCGTAGATTACGCCTAGTCGTCGAGGATTGGAGTTTTACATTGCCATCCCAGGTCACGAAACTCGTAAATGTTGACGTAACATTAAACTTTGAAGACGGTAAAAATATCGCGCGTAACAACACGTAATTATATTCGCGTTCGTATTCTCGGCATCCACCGCGAATGTCCGTCAATTCAAACCGATATATTTGAATTGGCTGGTAAACAAAATTTCTAACCGAATAGCACTGTATCAAATGAAACGTAATGTGAACATGAATGCCGAGAGTTAGTTACATGACGCGGGTTCGACGGGGTCGCGCGGAATCTCTGTTCGACGCCCGGCGAATACGAATCTGCGTTTTTGAACAGAAAGAGGCAATCAAAAAGTGTGGGACGGATAGAAAATCTGGCGACAGAAGGTTCGACATGACAGCAGACATATTCTTATATAGCGTCTGATGAGACTATGAACAACGCAAAATTTAGTCCGCAAAACTTACAAGAGGCGTAAAAGTCAGAAAATGTCAGTCTGGAAGGAGGACAAAAAGAAAAGAAACATTGATACATGTGAAGATGAGGGTAGTGACTAAAACCGTGATTATGATATTAAGGAACAATAAAATAATTTTAGCAATACCTCTTTAACATTCTCATAATCTTTGTAATTATCTAGTTGGGACTAGAATTTTATTTTGACTAAATAGTAAGTATAGTTTTAAGTGAGCGTGAAAGGAAGGAACAATAATACTAGAAGTAATTGTCTATCCTTGCTTTTTTTAGGTACCTCTTAATCTCAGTAACACTAATGTGCTCTTATACTAAAGTCAATCTCTGTATGTTTATAAATACACTGATATATTTCTGTATTTTTGACATGCCCTGGCATTGTAGCTAATTTGTAGTCTGAATATGGTATTGGTGCATTAGAAAAGTAAAACCTCGGTTATTTTTTTTTATAAGGAATGTCTAGAAAGTTTGTTTTTCTACTAAAAATTTCATAAAGATGGTATGCAAAATATCTGTTCATAATGGGATCATTCTCATGCAAAATTGTAATTTTTGAGAAATCAGAATCAGAAATTTTCTTGTGTGCTGACCACGATTAGTGTAGGTTTACATACAGAAAAATTACCATTCAGCATATCCTTGCCTTTTATTATTGAATCTTTTTCTAACCCAGTGGCATAGCTTCAGTTGGTGTCACCCAGGGCTCAATGACTCCCCCCCCCTAAATTAAATATAAAAATATCTATTGCTGAATAGTTACGCTATATTTAATAAAAATGAAAGTACACGTGTTTGCACATTACATAATTATAGGTGTCACCTGGGGTGGACCATAACTACACTGCTGTTCTAACCAATCTGTGGTTAGAACCCCCCCCCCCCATTTGCACAGGTTGTGATTGCTTAGATTGTGATTGTTCTAGATTTTTCAGTCAGCCATCTCTTAAGTTTGTTACCACAATAAAAGCAAATCAAATTTAATGGTGGTGAAAATGACATGAAAATCCATAGATTTTAAATCAAACATTTAATCTTGAATGTTGCTCTGTGAAAAACAGTTTGTCTTGCTATTTATTGAGAAGTGGATGTTGCACTAAAGGATTATTTTCTTTTTTTATGTTATCATTAACTTGTTTTGTCAAAGTTTCATGCCAAGATTATTACAATGTGTAACGTTTGATTGTAGAAATAAATTTGTGTACATTCTTTGATGAATTTTTCAGGCATATGTGGAGAAATTCTCACAAGATCTTTCTTATGAATATGGTAAAAGAGGAATCATTATACAGTGTCTTGTACCAGGGTATGTTGCCACAAAAATGAGCAAAATAAAACGATCTACTTGGATGGCACCAACCCCAGAGCAATATGTTGAATCAGCCTTAAGCAGTACAGGCATAGAACCTATCACCACAGGATATTTTCCTCACTCTCTTCTGGTAAAGAACTCTATTATTCAAATTAATTAAAAGAAAAGAAAATGGAAAGAGCAAGCTCCTTACTTTGCTTATGGTATACCTTGTTTTGTTTGTACTTTCCCTCATGTGAGGTGCTACTTTCTTATTTCTTTTACAGGTCTTTGCTGTGAAAAGTTTGGAGGGAATATCATCAAAGACTGCTGTCTGGATTATTGCACGTACAATGGAAAATATTAGGAGAAGAGCTTTACGTCAATCATCTCGATAATTTCTACTCATTGTCAGCTTTATGCAACATTCCATAGCTCTATTCCATTTCAATCTGTTGTTTTTAGAAAATTTGCAAACGTTTACCTTCAGCATTATAATGCTAATGAATGATGCAATACTATTGTTCTCCATTTTTTATTAAAGTTACATAAAAAAGAATAATCTAGAATTTTATGCTGCTCCTTCCTTGATGTTTCTCTTCATTACGGTGAAAATAATTCTGAGCATTATAAATTTTATCTTGCCTCTTCCTCCCTCCCCTTTCCATTGTTGACCTCCTTTTCTCTTTCTCCATCTTATTTTCCTTAATCTCTCCCATCTTTCAAGTAAATAAGATGTTCTAAAAGATGTTGCTCTCACTTTCTCTTCTCTTAAGAATTCTAATTGGAATTTCAATGTGTGCAATAGAATTAAAAATGTGAAAAACAATTTTTTTCATTAACTTTTTTAAGTCATTGCTATTTCCTGTAAAATATGGCATTTTTTGAAATAATGGTTTCTCCTTTTCGAGTAAGTGTGCATTTCAAGAACTTTAATAGTTTTTGAAAATTAAATTATTAAATTCACCCTTATAAGGACATCTAAGCAGTGCTACAGGCCTCAAAAGGCATTTACAATGGATAAATTACAATGTTTTACAAAAAACAGATTGTTAAAGTATTATACACTCCCGACCGAAATGTATTAATGATGCGCAACGGTTTGAAACTGCTTCTAAACGCATATTTAGCTGCTACGTCTTTGGTGTGAGAGAGACTGAGACTGGTGTTGTGGTGTAAAGCAAATGATTTGCACTGAAGTTGGAGTATATGCTAATGGAAAACAAAATTTCATTAATTTTGAATGGAAAATTATGGAAAGTTTGACGAATTTCGCCCCTTTATCATTCTCTGTTGGCCTCTCTTGTATTTTTTAACATAAAATAATGTTGTACACAATGAAGGATGCACAGGAATATAGAGGTCTGCATTCGGTCATGCTCGGTCGTGGCATGCGGGTGCAGGCTCTCTGTCACCGGTGACCGCAGACCAGAGAGTAAAAGAATTTCAGAAAGAATTTTATTGATAAATTTTTTTATATTAAGTTTCGGAGGGTGAAGGTTCAGAAATTGAATAAATAAAAAAAGATATTCTTGAGATGATAAATCTAATATGGGCCAGAATCTTTCTTAAATTCTTTGACGTAAAAGAATGTAATAAAATAATTTTGCCTTTTCTTACTACATTAGATCTTAAAGGCAGGCATCAACTTTAAAAAGCATGCTAAAATACCCCAAAATGAAGATTTGTTTTCTATTTTATGACTAGTTGATGAATTCAAATACTAATTTACATGAATATTGTTGATTAATGTCCAACTTTCATACTGACGTGTTCATAGCTATTGGCTCTTCAATTCACATTAAAATATTATGACAATAATTCTTTTTATTATTCAGGTATTGTCCTAAAATATTTGTTAGAACTTAAAATCTATTAGAGTTCATAATGAACCTCTTTTACTCCAATATCTGGGAAAGGCTCAATATTTATAACTTTTTTTTCACTGTTTTTATGTGAATTTGGTATGTAACTTAGTTATCAAATGTTGGTTAAAAAAATTTGATATACATGTAGTTAGATACAATTAACCTATTATGTGAAGTTGAAAAGAAGGTTCTGCAGAATTACATTTGGCATAACAATTTTTTTTATTTACATTAAAAACCAATCCACTTCTTTCTTATATTTTTACTAAAGCTAATTTCTGTTATTGTGCATTCCTAGAGATTATTGATGTTGCAGAGAGGGATGATCTCTGACAGCCAATAAAAAGGGACAAGTTCTTGTATTTTTTTTGTAGAAAAACTAGTAAATTCAGATTTAAAACATATAAGAAACTAGTAGTATGGAAATTAATTTTAAAATAGAAAGTTTTCTCAGAACACTAAATGAAAATAAATTTTCTGTATTCTTAAACATAAAGCAGCACATATTACTAAAAGCTTTAAATGTTAAATAGCTGCAACACTGGAGCATATTTATAAAATAAAAATAAATAAATCTATTATCAGACACAATACAAGTATAACATTTATTTTAAATTAGTACATTCATAAAATGTTAAATGAATTATATATATCACACATTTCATTTTAATTGTTTTCTCTAGGTGCTCTTCAAAGTGCTGCCCCTCTTTGAACATTGCTACTATTGGCAGTATAAGTGGTCAATCACCTCTTCCTCCACATTAAGTTCTGACTTTTGAAAGCAACGGCTCTGCAGAATTTTTGAAGTTTGTTCTGAGCATTGAAAACAGCTTTTTAATAAAACAAACATCTCTAAACAGTATTTTTTTATATTTATTATGGGGTGGATAAATTATTCATCAAGGCACAAGTAGATTCCACCAAAAATCTGCCATGAAATTTGTCATTTTCAGTCTTTGAATCATTGAAAATATGAGAACCATGTGTCACGTCATTTTATTTAATCGTTCATGGATAACACTATCTACTGTAATAAAATAAAACAATGCATATCCTTAATTTTCTATGAGGTATTGTACGTATGCACGTTTAATTATTAAAAATGCTAATAAAAGATATCTATCACCATGGACCAATTAGGGATATGGTTGCTTACTGTTAATGACACCCTTCAACACACTCGGTTAACTCGTGCGTTCCGTCCCACGAAAACCCATTTTTTATTTCGAAATTTAGCTGAATATCCTTCAAAAAGATTCACACGTGCTCGGCTACTTTTTTCCCCTCGGCTATCCGTACCATCAATGCTGTTTATTCTATTTTTGGTAAGAAACGCCAACAAAATCACTTTGAAGTTCCCAAAGCTAAAATCCAAGAAAATACGAACAAATAAATGATTCACAGAATAAACTAGGTTGCCAAATATTCGAGAAAACACAAGGAAAGAAAGTAAAGTCGAATTGAAAATGACAAAGATACAATGAAGCGAAACGCACACACAATTCGTTCTTATCCGCCTCTGTTTTCGCATTTCTAGGTTATTCCACGCTTAAACCACATGTCTCCGAGGTTTAGCGGTTTCCTTGGAAACTACACCTTACTTCTCCGTGCTCGAGTTAGTCCATGTTTATTGGAAGGAATTTTCGCTATTATCCTGCTATTCTAGGCTTAAGCACAGAATAAATTTCACAGCACGTTTATTGGCAGGGCTGTATAAGTCACATCAAATCGAACACCGTTTGGCCTTAGATGTTCAAAATTGATTGAAACTTCTTAAATGTGTTCTGGGGGCAACTAAAAGAGGCTTAATGTTTTTGTTAGAATTTAACTTAATTATTTTGGAATTTATGCTGCATGAAATTTTCCGAAAAATCACACGCACCACCAATTAAAAATGTTTATTTCTCCTGCCACATTGATTGCCGCGAACATGGATGCCGCTGCACTTCACATGCCGGATGTTCGATCGGGAAAGTTAATTTATTGCAACTGTGTTTATGCATATCCCATTCTGATATTTTGTACAATTATACATTAAAAGGTAGGAAATTTAGTAGAATTTTTATATTTAAAAAAATTGCGAACATAAAAAGTTTTAATTTAAAGTTAAAAGTTACGAAAAATAAACAATTTCAATTTTTGTATAATTTTAGTACAAATATAATAAAATGTCGATCTATAAGATAAAGCTAATCTGAATTTTATAGTTTTTGAAATAAAGCAGACATGAGCATTTATATATGACCGTATGCGCTCCAGTTTGCAATTTTTAATTCCGAGTTACTCTGAAGGTATATCGCACCTCCAATAGAAAAGTGACACAAGTGCGAATTTCTGATTTCTCAGAAACTGCGATTTTAAGTTCGTGGTTCTGTAATACTCTTTATAGATTGTGCCAAATATTCACCTTCTAGCGGGCAGTAATTGAACTAATTCAAAATCAACTTCAGAATAGTAACAGTACCTCTTGGTAACCTCTTATCAGCTTTTAGCTGAAAAATGACGATTTCGCACTTTCTACTGGAGGTGCGATATGACTTTTATGAAAATGAAACAACACATGAGAGTTGTTTTTGCTATTAGAATGGATACACTTTAAAAAAATCAAAAATATCAAGGTCAATTTTCCTCGAATTCATTCGATTGGACGTGGAATTACTCTTATCTATAAAGAAGGGATAGTCAATTTTAAAACTAGTGATGCTAAACAGCACATACTTTCTCGCGTTACTGGAAACAGTTTTGTGCGCTACTAAAACCTCTACGACAATTAATTGATAACGTCCAATTCAAAAAATGCACCTTTGATGCATATCTACATTCATTTCGAGAGTCAGGAGCAGCAATCAATTTGTCATACTTTGACAACTGAAACAAACAGGACTGACTTTGACTGATTTAGTATCCACAGCAAATTATACAGAAAAGAGCAACGCATTGTTGCCAGCGTAGCCTTGTCAAAACTATGTGTATTTGTTTGGCTAATAATATAAATACAATAATTAGAATATATGCAATGATATCAAAATAATTACGAAAATTCTGGCTGCTCACTCGTGACCGTCACCAACTGGACTTAAAAAATAGCTATATCTTATCACCGCCAACATCTCGACGATCGACGACAATTAGCTTCGAAATTATCAAAGCCACATTGTTGCGATATTTGTATTAAGCTTTGCAGATTGCTTAAAAAGAAATACATCAATACATTGGAAATACAAATTGAATATAATGAAAAAAGCGAGAAAGTAAAAACTAAATTAATATTGACGTTTTCAATAGTAAATTAAAATTAAATTATTTTTCATATTATTCATTCAATTTTTCTTGAGACCCATTGTTGTGAAACCAACATATATTTCATTAATTTCAAGCAGAAATTACGCAAAAACTTCTCGTTTTTTTCCAAAAATTGTACATGACCTTTTTAAAGAGATTATTTTGTACAACAGACTTTATCAGGCAAAAATCTCTAACTTCAACTTTGTAGTTTTGAAATGCTTTTTGCAATTTTCGAAACACCAAGCAATACCCGAAAATGAGACTAGCACCATATTTATTACAGTTCCTCTTTACATACGTGGAGAAAATTTTAAGAAAACATTTGGAGCGATTTTTAGAATAAAAAAAAACAATCGCAAAATACGCACAAGCTACTGTTTTTTCAAACAATCGAGCAAAACCTTTTTTGAAGATCTAATTTTGTGCAACAGACTTTGTCCGAAGCAAAAATCTTTATCTTCAATTTATAGTTCTTTTTTCATTTTCAAAAAACCGAACGATACCTAAAAATGGGACTAGCACTACATTTGTTACAGTCTCTTGTTACAGTTACATAGGTGAAGGAAAATTAAAGAAAACAATTGGAGCGGTTTGTCAGAATAAACATTTCGTTCATTTCAATCGGAAATAATGCAAAAACTACTGTTTTTTAAAAAAATATGTACATAACATTTTTTAAAGAGCTAATTATGTACAACAGACTTTTTCTGAGACAAACTTCTGTAGCTTCAATTTTGAAGTTTTAAAAATAATTTTTCCAATTTTTGAAAAATCGGGAATGTCAACGAAAATGAGACCTGTACTATTATCTTAACCGTCCTGCTGAACGGTTTGTGCTCTAGTGTTGTGCATAGACGGGCGGACGGACAGACGTTTTGCCGTCAATCAATTTTTCGGTATGAAGAATGCACAAAACATGGATTCTGGCTACACCGCGTGTTAAAGGATTTTTTTCTAAATTTAGAAACTGGATTTATCTACTTTTTCCTTACCAGGGCCCGGCAATATGGGTTTTTGTGTCGAACATTCGCCGATTTTCGGCGCACGATTGCAATACTTTCTCTTCTTACGTTAGTAAGTGCGAGAAAGTAAAAATGATGAAAATTATAAAATTTAATTAACATAGTTCAGTATGTGAAACTCAAAATCACAGATCCGTAGGAACATTTTTTTATAAGAACAAAACAACGAATCAACTCAATTCGAGTCCGCAATATACTACAATCAGCTGTCCATTTTTGTTTCAGACATATAATCAACAAAACGTTAATGTTTTGTGACATAGAGTAGCAGGGGGCAAAAATCTACATGCGGTAAGTGTCCGATTAGCATAATTACTGTTTTCGAAGAGTGAACATGGCCCTTTTGCAATGTAAATTGGAAAGTGTCATAGCTGATGTTCTGTGAGGAGAGTGTGGTAGTTCCAGTGCAAATATAGGTATTGTGGTGAGTTTTGGCATTTCCAATGAAATAATTGTATGCGTCGACATTGCCAGCAATGTTATTTATTAAAATAGCAGCTTTCGATTGCTTAGCCATCGAACCGACTACCTGTAGTCGTTTTTGTGGCTTCCATACAGCAGAAAACTGATGATGATGGCTAAACCATCGAAAGCTGCTATTTTAATAAC